CACAAGAAATAACACTAATAGATATTTGTATGATATTGATTTTTAATGAAAAGATGTTAGAGAAATGAGTTTCAATAAACCCCTACCTTTCCTAATGACAGTATATATACACAACTGTGACAATTAGCAAAGGAAATATACACATTCAAGAAAGTGGAATATTCAATAAAAAAAAGATGTATGTACAAAATATTGACAAAGCACCTCAGGATCATTGTGCAAGGAATGCTACCATTGGTTTGTGTCTACAGGCTTCACTTTATAATACTGAGCGTACAAGTCTACACAAATGGGAGATATTTTTGCAAACCATTTTTTTTATTCAATCAGCACAAGTGTCTTCCAAACGATTTGCCAGAAATCATAACAGACCTATCAGTATGCATCTTAGATAAATGAAGGTCAAATTAACCAATCAGTACACACTTGCCTTAAATGGAGTTTTAATTGACCAATCTCTTCAAACCTTACAGAAATGTAGCTATGGTGGACCAATCAGCACACACCTTACATAAATGTAGGTATAGTGGACCAATCAACACCATCTTACATAAATGTACGTATAGTGGAACAATCAGCACACACCTTACATAAATGTTCGTATCCAATCAGCTCATTCCTTAACATTTATCAAGGAAATTGGTATCTATGCTTAATAGTTTGGAAGACATTTTGGGAATAAAAAGAAATGGTATACATATTCATAAGAGCTAGGCACATTTCAAATGAACAAATACTCTCCACATTCTAATAGGATATTTGAAAAAATATCTAAATTTGGCATCATCAATTTGTTTCTTTAAAAAAGTACAAAATGCTTGTTGAAGATGTTACAATAATGATGATTTCAATATGACAATTTATTTGTATTGCCGTTTTTAAATAAAGTTTTGATGTATGAACATGTGTTAATAAATGCTATGTATATATTTTTGGTGACAAAATATAAAGGAATAAAAAAAAGAACACCTACGGGGTATGTTTCATAATGACACAAGATAAGTACAAATACTGTATTTCTTCATAATACACAATTAAAAACTTGAGTATTTTGGATACAAGTAATGATTAAAATGTCAGTGAGGTTCTAGTCCAGGGTAAACCTGTATGAGATGCCATGCATTGTCCTTAAGACCTACTTTGTACTGTTTAACATGATGTATATATTAAACTTGGGGAATACATTGCAGACAATGGGAAAGCTTAACCTGGTAATCAAAACCCCGATCTAGGAAGACATCTTATTTTATATGTTTAAGGATCCCTGTACCACTGCCAAAAAATTAAAACTATGCATCAAAATATTTTTTTATACATGAGAATTGATTTGATAAATCATTTCTAAAAATAAAAACATACCTTGTGGGACTATATAAAAAAAATATATAGACTGAAAGTAAAAAAAATGTTCTGAATTTACATTAGAATAAATTATGCATGTTTTTACTCTATAAGTGCCCCAGTGTATTACAGCATGGGATGGAATGCTGAAGAATGCCTTCTCCCAATTACAGTGAAGAAGAGTAACAAAACTGCTCATTAAACATACTCTAGAGACACAGGTTGTTTGGCCTTTCCCTTCGGACCTGATTTTGTCAGAAATGGAAACCATACTGGTGTAGGTATTCCTTTAAAACATGACTTGTCATGTCCGATTGAAGTTTTGGTGTACCCCGTTGTTACCATCTTCGAAATCCAATTTTTCTTATCTTGAAATACAAATCTTCTCTACCCCCCTGTAATATAGAATGACAAAACTGAAGGCTTTTTTACGCGACACCTTGTGGATAAGAGTAGACTAGTCTGATGACTTTGATAAAGGTCACAGGAATCTCACGGCATCGTAAAGGTTAAATCAAAGCTTTTAACTCAATCACCCCTGAAGACGCATTTGAACTCTTCAAATTCATAGGTTGGAATAGTTCATTATGAAATTTCAGGGGTGAAAGAGTTAAAGGACAGATATCAGCCTAGCGATTGGTCAGGTTTTAATACCCAATTTAGTAGCTTACTCTGAGCATGACATGTTCCAAGGATGCAGAAAAGATTTGTGAATGGAGAGTGGAGTCCTTGGATTTCGAAGATATATATTATTATATAATACAAGCTATATTAATCGTACCCTGTCAAAGTATTAGTACTGAGTATTAAAATGCTGCTATTTGAGTAGTTACACTCAATGTAACCACAGAGTTACCATAGTAACATGAAATTAGGTCAAACACATACACAAATGTAACTTGTACCACACAGAAATGATTATAAAAGTACCCGATATTAAAGTACAATGGAAGTATAGGGGAAATGTAAAAAAAACAATTCTCACATACTTCACAATCACAAACAAGAAATTCATGGTTGGAAGCTGCTTTCGTTATTTTATATACACATTGATAGATTTAAAAATGCACTGATGTCCTTATGTAAACAATAAACCTGAATGATCTTCACACTTTGGTTTTACAAACAGCTTTGCCTCTATCCATTAAAATAGCACTGTTTCAATTTCAAAATCGAACTGATACGTTGAACATGGGTTTCCAGAGATTTTAAAACTTTTAAAAATTATCAGAGGTACACATAACAATGTATATATATATATATATATGTAAATCTAATTTCCTGAAAAAAATTCAAACTGTTGTTATATAAAATGTGTTATCTATATGGGTAACAATCTCTTCCATTTGAATACAAGTATGGTTACAATGAAGTTCAATGACTCTTTACTACAATCACCACAACCAAGGGGAACTTTATGTATACATATTTACTACATAATTATATTCAATACAGTTACACTGAATAAAAAGGGGCTAAGTAAACCGTTATACTCATCACCTAGGTCTACTTTTATAAAATACTTTTGTTCTCGTGTAAGAAAAATATTTCTTCAAAGTAAATCTTTCAAATTATAAAACAACTTCTCAGGACTGCACTGCAGTAATTTAATTTATCAAATTACTTTTCATGAATATATAAAAATATCAAAATGGATGCAACTAATGTTGTTTTATCTAAGATTTTCATATCATTAGTAATATTCTGGCTTTATAGGAGATTTCTTTCATTTGAAAGCAAGGTCTTAAGTCTGTCGGAATATTGATATTAACAGACTCAATCATAGAACCCAGGAAGGGGAAGATAACTTCTCCATGACCCTGACACAAATATGTATTCTATGACCCCCAAGGAGGGGGAGGCAACTTATCCTTGCTTCTGTCACAGGTTGTTTTCTATGACCTTAGACAGGGGGAGATAATCGATCCATGCCTCTTACAATATACTTTGTTCTATGATCATATATAAGGGGAGATAACCTACATAATGTCTGATATAGATATCATCAGGGGAGATAATCCTCTTTGCCTGCTATAAATGAACCAAGTGTAAGTTTTATGAACCCAGAAAGACAGAGATAGCCTGCCATGGCATACTTACTCATAAAAAAAAAGAAAAAAGAAAAGAAATTTTGACACTTAACTATCTAGGTATAGAATATTCAAGCTACTATTACATCAATTAAGCATATAATGAAATGTGATGTATTTACATTCAATTTATATATGTTAGGTTTTATTAGCAATTAAAAAACTGTCTGCACTCAGCAGTGAGCGTTGTCATATTGCAACAAAACTGTGAAGGATCTCTACTATTAACAACAAATACAACCATGTAAGTTCTTCACTATGAACAACAACAATAATATTCATGAGTTTTCTGTCATGGACAAAAAACCAAATTAGTTTGTTTTCTGTTCAGATATCAATGCCAACTGGCAAATGTCTTTTGTACAAGTGTACCAATAAGTGATCACTGTCCCACTTAAGCAAAACATTGGAGATTTCCACTGAAGTTTTTCATACATACAGATATAACCTCCCCTTAATTTTGTTTTAAATGTAACTGTGGCGCCACTGGACTAGGCTATTACATCAGACCAAGTAGCTCAGTTGGATAGTGAAACAGTGTAAAGAATGGGGTCCTGGGTTCAAGTCATGTCTGGCATCATTGACATTTTTACACTCAGAACATTGTTGTAGATTTTTTTCATTCTTTTAATTCTTTTCATAACATTTTGCAAGCTATTCTATTGCTTTTGTATTTATAGAAAAAAATTGAATGCACATTTAGTTTTTAGCAGTGGGACGAGGATCCTTAAAATGTTCCCTTGGTACAAAAAGGTTTCCTAAATACAAGTGTACCAGAAAAAGGTTCCCTCGGTACAAATGTACCCATTGATAAACATTTATAACAAGATGATATTATATTTCATACTTGATTTGTTAACAATCAATGTATCTTTCTTGATTTTGATAATTTGTACAAAATTCTGCTATATTTGAAACGGTTGACCGTTGTATTGCATCATAAAACTCTGAAGTGCATCCTTTTTCAGTAAAATATCAAAGATGTATCTATATGTATTAAAAAAATGTACAGTTCAGAAACATACTTTTTCAGAAATCTTTTCCTTTCACGAAGCAATCTTTTTCACATGTTTGGCCTGACTAAAGATCCAGGAATATACTGGTTAAAGTTGGCAGAAGGGACTACTGAAAACCTTTCTCTATCGGTGAAATGTATCCAGCAACAGATTTCTAAGTCTATTAATCACTTGTACACCTTATGCTCCTTATATTGTCTTGGGATCCAATTATAGCTATCTTCTCTATGTGGGTTTTCTCCGGGTACTCCGGTTTCCTCCCACACTAAGACCCCCATGCGCTTACATCTGGGCCAACAAGAGTGATCAATATAAGTTGAGATAACTTGTTTCATAATTGTTGTAAAATAAATAAAGTTTACAACCTTTCATCTCTTTACTAACCAGAACCAAAAGCCTTCTCAATCTCTGAGGAAATACAAGTTTTAAACACAATAACACATTTTCCAAGAAAACCCGACTCTAAAATCTCCCAAGGAAAGATAATTTGGATTGTTTGGAGATAACTTCGAGACTGCAACTGTAAACATGCATGTGTTTATGTAACTTTTTCATCAGTTATTTAAAAAGGAGCCCATAGACCGACATATATCATGATTTCAGGAACATGGGGCTGTAAGTGTTTATTACTTGTATAGGTCAATCAAGATAAATGAAGTGATCTAACATCAGAAACTGTTAATATTAAGTTGATCTGGTCAATTGACCCATCTGGTGATCTGTCTGCTGACTTGTCATTTGGTATCAAACATCATTTCTATCTATGAAAACCACACAAGACATCTTTCAATTGAGTTTCTAGTATTCAGGACTGATTAGTCAGGCCAAATATCTATGTCTTTACATGTAATACTGAGTGACAACAACATGACTACAATATTTCCATATCGCCTAGCTGCCTCGTGATTAACTGACTTCGGGGTACATGGACTTGTCCGTGGCAGGTCCATTAGGTGGAGGATGTATCGTAGTACCATCCTCCAGGTCCTGCAGTTCAAGTTCACCTCCTTCGAGGGCCAGAGCAGCTTCCTGTTCGTCAAGTTCAGCCAGTTCCTTGGACGAGAGATGAGCCACAATGGCTGCACCGTAACTGTCACCCAGCACGTTGATGGAGGTTCTGATTCTATCCCTGGATATCATCAAAAACAAAACATATCACACCAGATATCTACTACCTATGTCAGGTTTATATTTTTTTTATAACATGAGCTAATTTTCAAAATTGAAGACTAAAAGGAACGTTTGAAACACCAAAGTACTGCTTCTATTACAGCTTGATGCAGATGATGATATGAACATGTTCTAATGTATATGCATTAATGACGACTAAGTTCACATTTTGTATGAATGAAAATAGACCGAAACTTAATGAACCTAGCTAAAGCAGCTTCTGGAGATGAACTGCCTTACACAATGTAGTTTTAATTTAAGAGTTACTTCTCTTAAGACAATAGGCTGTCTTATATCTTATACCGGTAATCTGTGTTAGAGTAATCTCCCCTAAGGTTATAAAAGGTATGCTACCTTACACATTAAACCTTTGATTTATGTTAGAGTTATCTCCCTTAAGGATATATGCTACCTAACATATTGAACTTACCTGTTTTTGTGTTAGAATTATCTATCCCCCCCCCCCCCCCCCCCCCCCTAAGGATATATGCTTCCTAAAATGAACCTGTGACTTATATAGAATTTATTACCTTTAAGGAGATATGCTACCTTACACTTTGAGTGTAATGTGTAAGGTAGCATACCTTTTATAACCTTAGGGGAGATTACTCTAACACAGATTACCTATTCATTATCGTTATCAGGAATATCAGAAATACCATACCCAGTAATGTTATATTTTTATAATGAATTTTTGTTATTCAATTTCTTTTCTGCATTTACAGATTAATTAAACAAGGTTCAAATTACAAACCATGAAAAAATGCTACCGGTTTCTTTGTATTGAAATCTCTTGTAAAGAAGATAAATATCTATGAGGTAGCATGTCTCCTTAATAAATGCTGTTGTGTCTGTTGATACTTACAGGAACCAATCCACTGCGAGAATGAGGGAGATATCGTCTGTTGGCAGACCGACGGAGGTAAGAACCATCAGCATGGTAACAAGACCAGCACTCGGTATACTTGCAGCACCTATACTGGCACAGGTGGCTGTCAGACTGCAAAAAACAAGGAATATCGGTGAACATAAGTAAATGTAGACTTCATTTATTTTAAAAATTATGAATTAAGTTATTTCAACTTATATTAATCACTCTTGTTAGCCCAGATGTTAGCCTACAGGAGGTCCTAATGTAGGGAAACCGTAGTACCCCGAGAAAATCAACTTAGTCGGGCAGATGATTCCATACCTTTTACATCCTATTGGGGAATCGAACCCTGCCGCTTTGTTAAAGGCAGGTGCACAATCCACTGTGCCACCGACCACCTCAGTTAGCAGTACAAAATGGTGAAAATGTTTGGGTTTGACAAAGTGCAAGGTGTACCCCAATAAAAAAAACACAGCGGGTATAATTTGGTTATGTTATCAAGGGCTGTCCCACAACAACCAATATTATTTCAATTATTTAAAGAACTTGTTGCGAAGTTTGACGCCCATGAAAAGCGGTTGTGCAACCTTCACCTAATATCACAAAAGAGTTCAAACCCTACATTGCATGTGATTTAATATACATTTCTACGTTATGCAGAATTAAATGAATCTAAAAGTCCTCAATGAAAGCTACAGCTTTTGAGAAAATGATATTTTGAGTTTTTTTTCTTAATTATCAATTTTTTACACATATAACAAATGAATAACTTATATCAAAAACTTTCAGGCCAAAGTAGCTGATACAATGTTGCTTTGATAACTTTTCAGATGATATAAAAGTATATGTTTCTACACAACCCTTACCTGATGGTTATAATTTGGCCAATACCCAGATCAATGCCATTCATCTGTGCGATGAATATCGGGGCAACAGCTTCGTACAGGGCTGTACCGTCCATATTGATTGTCGCGCCGATGGGCAACACAAAGCGGGTCACACGTTTGTCGATACCCATATTCTCCTCCAGACATCTGAAGGTGACAGGCAGGGTGGCAGAGCTACACAAACAGATTATGTCAGAGTCAGGATAACACACTCAAGATATCAGTCCTTATATATAAAGACAGGGCATATTTCTCTTCTGAAAGCATTTAATTGAAGATTACATCGAAAAGACTGTAAAAGCAGTAATATTTACTAATTTCATAAATCAAATTTGTGTGGGCAGATAATTATAGAGAGGATCTGTCATAAGTTTCCCTTCATATTAGATTTATGATACAAGTTTTGGATTTTTCATGTTTGCAAGCCTACGTGCAGATATATATGTATATGACTTGAAGTTTACATTGAAATAATTTTGCCAAAATGAACATTTCCAAACCTTTTTACATGTAGTTTGAAACTACCATACCTGAAAATTTCCATTTGAACAGTATAGCAGATTCTTGTACAGGCATGTTAACAACTTTCTTATTGTAAGTTATTGAGAATATTTCAATTTCAAAAGAAATAACAAAATCTAACATGATAGTTATGTTGTAGTACATTGTATTATATGTATGTGTTCTTCTATGAACAACTTCCAAGGAAATGTTGTCAGTCAAACTGATCCATTTTAAGGTTGCTCCAGTAACCAATATAGTATAATGCCCTTTCTATAATATCATCCTTAATGTCTCCTCATAGAGTTTTCCTCAAAATGTCCCATATTATCTTCCTCATGAAGTCAAATTAATGTCTTACAATACTACCAATTGAGGTAGATACCCCCTTGGGAATGAGATAGGGGAATTTCAAACTGAGGGGAAAAGTTATAAAGTTGCCAAACCTGAGGCTTTGTCGAATGTTTGGTGACTAAAGAATCTTTCCCAAAGGGTCGCGATTCACACTTTCCCCTTAAGGGGATGACTAATTCTTTTTCTCTCACCCGTGCACCCTATCATAAACCAAATGTAATGTTAACACTACAGACTAATGCATAATTGATGTGACGTCAATGTATTATTGACGTTACGTCATACAATTGTTATAAATAGGGGAATCCCTCTGTATCATCCCTTGGGTGAGACTAATAGAATCTCTCACCCTGATATCTCACACTGGGAAAAGTGTGGATACACTTGTCCAGGGTAAGAGACCCCCCCC